TAATCCCCCTCTGATACAATGCACTTGTGCCAGCGCTTTTTCCAGTCGTCAAAACACTTCTGAAATGCACTTTTGGGTATTGCCTTGAGCTCCTCCAGCGATGCAGCCTTAATCTCCTCAATCGTCGCAAATCTTCGTCCTTTCATGGGCCTTTTCAATTTTGGGAAGAGGAAAAAGTCGCAGGGGGCCAAGTATGGTGAATACGGTGGCTGAGGCATGATGATAGTATTGTTTTTGGCTAAAAAACTATTCACTAGTAACGACGTGTGCGCAGGTGCATTATCATGATGCAGAATCCATGAATTTTCTTTCCACACTTCCGGACGTTTTTTTCTTATTGATTCACGCAAACGCCGCATAACCTCAAGGTAATACTCCTTGTTTACCGTACGACCTTGTGGTAGGAATTCTTGATGCACAACGCCATGGTAATCAAAGAAAACTGTGAGCAAAACTTTCACATTCGAACGAACTTGGCGTGCCTTTTTCGGTCTTGGCTCTCCTGGGCTCTTCCACTGGGATGATTGGGCTTTGGTTTCGACGTCATAACCATATACCCATGTTTCGTCACCAGTTATAACCCTTTTGAGCAGATCAGGATCATCATTGACGTCGTTCAACATGTCTTGGGCGATGTTCATGCGACGCTGCTTCTGATCAAAATTAAGCAGTTTTGGAACGAATTTCGCTGACACACGTGTCATACCCAAAACATCCGTTAAAATTGATTGGCATGAGCCAAACGATATGTTAAGATCATCAGCTATTTCTCTAATCGTGATTCGACGATTTTTCAACACAATTTCTTTCACTTCCTGAACATTTTCGTCGGTTTTTGACGTGCTGGGGCGTCCAGAGCGAGGTTTATCGTTAACATTTTCACGGCCCTCTTGGAATAACTTATACCATTTATAAACATTTTTTTTGCTCAAAGTTGACTCACCGTACGCCACTGTCAACATTTCAAGAGTTTTTGAACACTTAATACCATTTTTTACACAAAAATTAATACAAACTCTCTACTCCATTATTTTCAACAGCAAAAAATTGCCGAGCACGCAAACACGAGTCTAACCTTTATGCCTTTCACATAAAAACAACACATGCTATATAGTCAAAACTGTGAACATATGATCGTGACGAGTGTACCAACACAACAAAAAAAAATTTTGAAATTAGAATGTACAGAGCGCGCGAAATTCAAAAAGTCACCTTACTTTTTGATCACACCTCGTATACAATAGGATATAGATAATTCACTGGGAATTGTTTAGGCAAAAAAGATCTAGTTTTGACCGTCATAGGCTTGAATATTCTTATACTTAGTGCTTAATGTTCGTATTTACGCGCACGTTTCTGGGGACTACATACGTAGTATATAAATTCACATGAGAATCATACAAGCATTAAGATCCAGCTAGATCGTTTAAAGCTTTGATTTCTATAGTTTGTGTTATCACATATACGGTCCTATAATATATTATATTCTTTAATTATTTAACATATTTATTTGATGTGAACTTTCAGACTACGTCTTAATAAGTACAAACTGTACATAGCTTTAAGAAAATATTTCAGCTTGAATACCAAAGTATGAAATGTTAATGGTAAGAAGAATATGATGTAAGTTTTTTTAATATTAGGTGTTAAACTTAATTCCTATCGCTCGCTACTAGAGGGTGCTGGCTCCAACGCTGGCGAGTTTCGACGATGAAGTCATATGTCTTTTGTAGTTTAGACATCGCTGAAAGTGATTCTATCCTCACAGGTTAGATTTCTCGACGCCAAAGAGATTTTCCAATCGATTGAAAATGAATCGCGATAAGCAGTTTTTCCGACGTGTGCTTCTTCACTACTTCGAGTTCAAGAAAACCGCAGCTGAAGCGCATCGCTTATTATCTAAAGTGTATGGTGATGAAACTCAATCGGAAAGAACATGTAGAGTTTGGTTTGAACGCTTCCGAAATAATGATTTTGATGTGAGAGGCAAAGAACGTTCAAGATAGTCGAAAAAAATTTGAAGATGTCGAGCTGCAAGAATTGCTTGATGAAAATCCAGCTCAAACGTTTTTAGAGTTATCGAAACAGTTAAATGTTACTCCAAAGGCTGTCTGAAAACGTTTGCATGCCATGGGAAAGATCCATAAGGAAGGGAGATGGCTACCACGTAACAACTCATGTTTCTTCTTGTCAGAAAGTGCCATTTCGAATCGTTTGACTATTGCGACTTCTTTGCTTGCCAGGCAAAGAAAAAAAGAGTTTTTTGTGGCGCATCGTGACTGGCGATGAAAAATGGATTTATTTTGATAATTCCAAACGGAAAAAATCATGAATAGACCCTGGCCAACCATCTACTTCAACGCCGAAGAGGAATATTCATGGACATAAGACCTTGCTGTGCGTTTGGTGGGACTAGGAAGGTGTGCTGTATTATGAACCTCTTGGGTCCAAATGAAACCGTTACAGCTGATCGCTATAAACAGCAATTATACCGATTGAGTGACGAATTGATGCAAAAAAAAAT